AAAAAAAAAAAAAAAAAAAAAAAAAAAAAAAAAAAAAAAAAAAAAAAAAAAAAAAAAAATAAAAAAAAATAAAAAAATAAAAAAAAAATAAAAAAATAAAAAAAAATAAAAAAATAAAAAAAAATAAAAAAATAAAAAATAATAATAATAATAATAATAATAATAATAATAAGAAAAAAAAAAAGATAATATAAACAATCATGAAAAATTTTATAAACGAAAAGAATAAATAAACGAAAGATAAATGAAAAAGATACAAAACGAATAAGGAAACATGTGCTTTCTTGAAAGACAAAATAAAATTGTATTCCCTTCCCCTTTTTCATCTTGTGAATGCAGCTATCATGCCCGATAATGAATTAATCTCTAGCATTTGATGAATGTTTGAAGATACGTACATTGCAATATCATTCGCAATATGACTAACATTTTTTTATTCATATTCATTTTATTAGTATAATACTAAAGCGCCCGCTCAACCGTTGCAACAAAGTCAAGTGTTTGCTCCTCCACCGGATCAACAAAGACTTTTACAGGAATGTCAGCAATTGATTGTTCAACACCAACAATACGCTTTGCAAAATCCCACTGACTTACATAACCAAAATCAACTTGGAAGTTTACAACAGGTTAGCATTAGTAACTAAAATTGTGTGCTTATCCAAGATTTTTTATTTTTAATTTTCCAATTTATCTCGCCATATAGCTCTCTGAAGCTATTCAGAAAGCGCCTCTCACAAGTGATCAAATACAACAAGTTCGGCAATTTTTTGCTACGCAGTTATCTGTCCCTTCAGCAGCACCCACTCAAACTTCCAATATAACTCGTAGCCTTGCTGGTTCTATTTCTTTTACCGGTATGCATTATGTGTAAACGTCATCCATTATTCTTAATGTTCATGTTCATCTAATTTATCTAATAACATCAATTTAAGTACCAATTCTTAATCCACCCGTTGCTACACCGGTTTCTATGGCACCAGCATCTGTAGTACCACCATCCGTTTCATCACATGGCGCTCTTGTTCCCGACCCAAATGCACTGGTAAAAAATTTGATGGATTTCGGCTTACTTGGAAGTGGAAACATGGTTGGAGGTGCGGGTGGCACTGTTACATCCGCTAATGTAGGTGGATTTGTTGGCGGAAATACCCCTACTCCACCCCCGTCAGGTCCTACGACTAGTGATGCTCATATGCATGTAAATGATTTAGAAAAAATCCAATTAACCAGCAATGACATTCAACGGTAGGTTTAATTTGGAATAATTTACAAATTATAAAAGGTTAATACCGATTATCTTAATAAACACTAGTAAGCGTGATGGTGTTATCGCAATATTATATGACGCTTTGCCTCTTCAATGCAAGCAATGCGGCTTTCGGTACGCCAGGAATGAAGGAGGTAAGGCGAAAATGGATGCTCATCTTGATTGGCATTTTCGCCAAAATCGCAGAATGAAAGAAAAGGCCAAGAAAGCACAGAGCCGAAGTTGGTTTGTTAATGAAGAGGTCGGTAAATATATCATGTTTTGAAATTCTATAACAATCTTTTTGAGCATTGGAAAATCTTTTAAAGAGCAATTTTATAAATTTAATATCATAAGGACTGGATTCACTCACGTGAAGCGGAAATAAAAAGCACACAATCGCCAGCTTTCTTTGACTTTGAAAATGCCAATGCTGCTAAGGGCACGGTGGCTTCGCAACCAAAAAAGGACGAGGTGGTCAAGGAATCTACGGTTATTGTTCCGCTTGATCCTGAAAGAGCTGGTAGGCCTTGTACTATTTGTCAAGAAAAGTTTCAAGTTTTCTGGAATGATGCAGATGAAGAATGGCTGTTTAGAAATGCTATAGAAGTTGAAGGTGTTATTTATCACGCAACTTGTCATGCAGATGCTCTTAAGGTTTATTGAATTTTATGAATTTGTGTAAGTGATTATCGTAACCATACTAATATGAATTCTTTGGCTTAGAATCAAGAAAATGCACAATCAAGTGGCAATGCAACATCAAGTACTGTTCTTGGAAAACGAAAACCCGATTCGGTAAATTACATTCACAATTAATTGTGCATAGTGATCCTGGCCAATAATGAAAAAATCGGCTAAAGTTAATTTTCTGCTTAGCTGGTCGATTTTTTTCAAAATCGGCTGATCAGATTTCTTATTATAATATTTCACGTATAAGTTTTGCGTAAACATTAAATATACTTTATATCATTAGAGATATAGTGCGTAAACGATGTATCCAAATAATGGATGAGAGATAATGCAATATTTTAATTAAGGTTTTTAATTAGTGAGATAGGGTGTTATTGCCAGAATACCCAATGGACTTTTAGATTTCTAATATTCCAATAAAAAGAATAATTACATGAGTCTTTTTGTCTAAACCCGTTCCGACAGTTTTTTAAAAGTTGAGTAGTAATAAACTTTTTTCGGGTATGACCTATAATATATCCCGACATTTTCCAATGTATTTTAATAACCAAACTTCTGCTATGCATTGTTAAGTCTTATGCTTTTAGTAACTAAGCTATTAAAAATGTGGATTATTTTTTATGATCTTTATTAAAAAAATCGATCTATTAGCGTTAGTAAACTTTTTCAAAAACTAATTTTTAGAGTTTGAAACCGGGTTTATTTCGTAAGTTAAAATCGGGTTTAATTGCATGAAAAATTGGGGTTTATAAAATTTTATCTCTAGTATTTAATTTAGACGGTTTTACTAAATCACACCAGTGGTGTTCAACACCACAATCGCTATATCGATATCTCAAAAGCTAGCTAAGTAATTAATGCGGGGTTCTAAGTAAAAATGTTTAGCACTTCCAAGAACCTTATAATAATCTAAATTTTATCTCTAATACTAACCTTGATCTTAACCTATAACAGTGTCTTAAATAAAACTATTAAAAAAACATATATATATACAGTATATATGTGGTATATCATTGGTGTGATTTATTGTTATTGAATTTAAAAACCAGATTATTTTATTTTTACTAATTTACATTAAAAAAAAAAATAAAAAATCAAGCAATAAATAGTGTTAGTATATATAAAGTAAAATATATAAATAAAATAAAATACAGTCAGACCTCCCTAAGTGCACCCCTTCGGGACCATAGAAAAGCGTGCACTTAGAGAGGGTGTGCATTTATAGAAAGCAAACTTTTATAAGCTAGGACCGGACTATACCATGCATTTATAGAGTTTACATAATCCGTTGGGGTGTCAACAATCAGTTTAATCACAAACATATGGCAAGACACAGTGAAAATCATTTTTGAAGATTTTTTTTAAAAATTTTAAATTATATTAAATTATTAATAAAAAATGCTTTCGCGCAAACTTTAATAACTTTTGTTATATTGATTTTTTTTTAATTCTGCGAGTTGATATTTATTCTTTAAGAGTGTCTCTATCAAGTAATAACCGCTTATTTTTTAAATATTTATACCTTTGTTAAAGTATTATAAAATTTCTTATAATTTCTATATACATTATAATAAAGTTTCTTATAATTTCTATATACATTATAATAAAATTTATTATAAATCATACAATTTCAAAAAATCTTCACTAATGATTTTTATTATATGTCTTGCTCTAAGTTTGTGATTAAACTGATTGTTGACACCCGAATAATCCGTGCACTTAGAGAATTGCACTTAGGGAGGTCTGACTTAGTGATGCGGTAGAATCGTCCCAATGAAGTCCCAATGAATTTTTGAGATACAGCAAATTGAGTTACAGCTTATTTGTAGCTTAATAAAAAGTTATCAAAAAATCCATTGGGACTTCATTGGGACGTCTCTACCGCATACCTAGTCTGACTGTATACAGCATATTGATATATATACAGTTAGATCTCTTTAAGTGCATGCTCTTGGGATCACATTTTAATAATAGGTATATAAAAAAAAGTGCATTTATAAAGATCAAGTATATATTTGGGCTGGCACCTGAGTATGTATTTAAAGAGTATATGTACTTATAGAGGTGCACTTAAAGAGGTTTAACTGTATTAGTTTTATATATAATAGTTTAGATCAGGGTTGTTATTGAACTGGACTGGACTATTGGACTGGACCAGTTTAATTTTATCCAGTTCAGTCTATTAAACTAAATTGGACTGGACTATTATTTTTTTTTTTTTTTTTTTTTTTTTTTTTTTTTAAAAAAAAAACCGCATTTAAGCATACTTTATTTTATTTACAACTTATTATATTTACAATGAGGATTTTATATATTTTAGTATTTTTTTGGCTGCTGAATTTGGGGCAGATCTAAAACTAGTGGTCTTATATAGAAGTTTAAGCTCATGGATGACTCTGACTTTTGTAATCTCTGATATTTTGTTCAGCGGAATTATGTTGTTTCCCCATCTGGCCTGTGTGTACTAACACCATATTTCATAGATAGCAGTAGGGTACGGAATCGGGCTGGGCTACCCGGGCCTGAACCCGACCCGATCTGCAAAAGTTCCAGGTCGGGCCAGTATTTTTGGGCCCGAATTATAATGGGCCGGGCTCGGGCTAGATCTGTTAAAATACCGGGCCGGGCCGGGCTTTATAAAAAAGTCTGTAATATCCCTGTAATACTATTATACTATCTCCACTAATATTTAATTTATCTATGTACGTACGTACATAATGTACAAACAGGTATAACTGTTAAAACAAACAAAAAAGTCCTGTATAGGGTCTTTTCACCCACCTGGTATAGTATATACGTACTTAATTTAAGATCAGGTGGCTAATATAAATATTATTGAATATTGAGAATACCGAAATATGATACTTTCAAAGCATCTTCGCTGGAAAAAAATTTGAAAGGCCTATTATATCGAAACATTAGGTTAGCATATCTCAAAGAGATATAGATGCATTGAAAAGCTTCCGTCACTTTCAGAACTACGTTCCCTGAACATGAATGATACAAAATAATTTGGTATTTGTATGAATTACAATAACAATTTGAAGGCTACGAATCAACTTGTATATACAAATAAGTAATATTTTATTTATATACATGTTTATTATAAAAGTCTAGATAAGTATAGTGCCTTTTTTATATTTCTTGTTAAGACTTTATTGACACACTAATGTTAAACATATTGGATAAGTATTCGAACGAAAATTTAATACGTAATGTTGGGTACGTTTTGGCATACCAAGATTTGATTACCAATTATTTATCGAATCGTTACGTAATAATATGGTAATAACTGATAAGGTTTTGATTAAACAAACCCGATATAAAATTCAAATAAACTGGTGTAAACCAGTATAAAATGTACAAGGTTTTTAGTGCTCCTCCTGATTAAATAAAACCTTAAATAATTTTCACTGAACTTCTAGTCATTAGATACAATTCGCTATTTAATAAGTACTTTAATATCATCTGCTAAGATAAATTCAAAACATCTGTTCCTTATCTTTGTGACCTTAATTTTTGTTTCGCCATTAGGATTATAATTTAATCGCTCATCCCAAATGGGAATAGAAACATGTGGAATAACAAATATAAAAAATAAAAAAAAAAAAAAATTAGAAATATGGATGTGGATTTGACCGTTATCGAAAGTTCGAGTGAAAGTTCCAAAACCTCTTTAGACAAAAATGTAGATCTATCTATTAACGAGAATACCTTTTCGAATAAAAGCATCGATCTAACTATAAGCGAGGATACCTTTTCGAATAAAAGCGTCGATTTAACAATTAGTGAGGATGAAAATTCTGAAATAACCTCTACTACTACTGAAAAGCATAAAGGCAGGGCCACATCATGGGTTTTTACGGAGGAACACTTTACCAAACTGCCAAGTAATATATAATACAATTAATATTTTATACATTAAAAAAAATTTTTTTTTTGAGTATTCATGTCAAATGTGCAATTTGTTAGATAACTGTGCTCAGTGCACGTACTGTAAAAATTCTCTAAAATATGACAGCAGCAGTGAAACAAGTTCCTTAATTTGCCATCTAAAAAATACAAATTGTAGTCAGTATCTTAAGAATAAAGTAAAACAACAAACGTTGTTATTTTCTCTCAAATTTTCTCAGGAGAAAAGCTGCCAGGATTTGGCAGATATGATTGTTATGCATGGATACCCATTTTGCATGGTTGAATACTGAGGATTTTTAAAATTCATTAATAACTTGCAGCCGCAGTTTAGAGTGATGAGTGAAAAAACAGTACATGAAGATTGCAAGAAAGTTGTTACAAACCTTGAGATAAAAGTTCGTAAGATGATACACGAAGCTCCCGGAAATTTGAGCTTCACAACCGATATGTGGACATCAAACCAAAATACTGGATACATGGTATCACGTGTATATATTCATGTTTTTTTTTCTCTGTTATATATTCAATTATTATATCTTTTTATATTGCATCTTTACCAGGTCATTTTATTGGTAACGATTGGATTCTCCGGAAACTAATTATAGCATTTAGATCTGTTCCTGCACCACATACAGGGATTACGATTAGTGACATGCTTTTTGAATGCTTTGATAATTGGAGTATTGCATCTAGAGTAAGTAATTGTTTTTTTTTTATTTATATACTTGGTAACATATTTATTGTTTTTATAGACGTTAGCGATTACCTTGGACAATGCGAGTAGCAATGATGCCGCAATGACCATTATGAGGCGTAGGCTTAGTAAACAAGACATGATCATTGCAAATGGAGATTTTCTGTATCAGCGTTGTTGTGTGCACATCTTGAATCTAATAGTTGTTGATGGGCTTAAAGTGGTTAAGAATATTGTTAACAAGGTAAGCAAATTGCTTAATATCTTTAAGTGAATTGTTAATATTATAAAGTCAACTCTTTTTACTCTCTCCACCTTCGGCAACAAATTAACCAGGCTTCAGAAAGAAGATGTGAAACACTTGTTACTAAGCCTACCCAAGCTATCAATAGTATACTTGATCGATACCAACCTCCCATTCATTTCTCTAATATTAAACTACCCAACCAGCTTATTACAAACCCAACACTTATCAAACAACATGTTCAAACACACTTC